TTTCGGATTCGGAGCATCAACAGCTTTGCTCTGCAATTGGTGACGCGCGACGCTAGTGGTGGTGTCGCTCGTCACCGGCTCTGCAATCTCAGGAATTTCTTCAGAATCTTCTAAGTCCACGACTTCAGGTGCAGGAGGCGTCTTCGTGGGCTCAGAACTCAGTTTTTTACCACTCCTCAACGTGATAGCACTGCAGTGATGCCTTGGATTGGTGTCAGTCTTCCCAGGAAGAAAACCCTCTTGCCTTTTAACAGAACCTGCAGTTTGGGCTACCTGTGTATCGAGCTGCTTGACATGGGTGTTCAGAGCTTCGATTTTTCCATTCAAATCGAGGTAGAGAGCATCCATCTTCCCATTAAAGTCCACGGTGAGCTTCTGCTGACCTTCCAGAATCTGTTCCAGCATAGACTTCATCTCATTGTCAGGATTTTGAGGTTGAGATGAAGGAGTGCTGTAGTTTCTGGAAAAACTGTTGTTGGAGAAAGGTTTCTGGTACTGAGGCTTAGGCGTGTAACCAGAGAAATTCTGATTACTGTTGAAGGTATTCCTCTGATTGTTTCCACTGTAATTTCCACTGTAGCTTCTGTTACCTTGCTGATTACCAAACCTCTGACCCTGAAATCCTGATCCACTAACAAAATTGACATCCTCTTCCTCAGCTGCATCCTCAGGTTCGAAACTCTCCACCTCCTGTGCGAATCTGACAGACTTCTTACCCACTAAAAGGCTGTGCACATAATCGAGTTTAGCTTTCACCTCAGCGATCTGCGATCTATCCATGTTCCCAGCTTGCTTCTTTCGCTCAAGATCAGCATTCTTGGTGCTATTGCTGGATGCCAAATTTTCGATGAGCTCAACGGCTTCTTCTGGGTATCGAGTGTTGAAGTTACCATTGCTTGCTGCATCAAGTGCCATCTGATACCTCCAGTCGATACCTCTGAAAAAGATACCCAGCAACTGCACATCGCTGAAGCCATGGTGAGGGCAGTCTCGCTGGTACGATTTGAATCGCACCCAAGAAGCCTTGAACGCTTCAGTAGGGTCCTGAGAGAAAGTCGAGATCTTAGTCCTCAACTCCTCAGACCTAGCATCGTCGAAGAAGTTGTGCAGGAAGGCGTTCCTGGTCTCTTCCCAAGTGGTGAGTGATCCTGGCTCCAACTGCTTCAACCAGTTAGCTGCTTCTCCAGCAAGAGAGTAAGGAAACAGCTTGCAGAGGAGGAAATCATTGGACACTCCATTGTATTTGATGCTGGTGACCAAATCCTCAAACCTCTCGATGTGATCCATAGGGTGCTCATGAGAGTGGCCATGGAATGGGTGCTGACCCACAAGAATGTAGTACACAGGCTTCAGCTCAAAATCGTTTCTTTGAAACGCAGGAGCGCGAATCGCAGAACGATTTGCATAGAACTGCTCAGGCCTGTTGTAGTCTCCAAGTGTTCGTCCACGTCCAACTGCAGGTGCAGGTTCCCTCGCATTCCGATCCTCTGGAACGTTCCTCTGATTTGGAACAATCACAGCATTCCCACGCGGTGCAGGTGGTGGATTCTGGTCAACAACATCCACTGGTAAAGGAGCTGGTGGAATGATGTTACCATCTCCATCAATCCTTTGGCCTCTCGCATTGCACAGATGACCCTCTCGGTCTCTCCAGGTTCCATCATCATCACGAACAAGTCCATTGGCGTTTTCCATCATTGCCGGATCTCTTGCTTTCCGCTTCGTTCGCTCTAACTCAGCTAGCTGTTCGTTGCTCAAATTCACTAGCGGGATGTCCTTGTTGCTCCTGGTTCCACGAGTATGCATAAACCTGAAACACCAAAAACAAAGAGAGAAAACGAAAATAAGTAAACTAGGTTATAAAAAGGAAGGTGACAGGCGACACCACAAGTGGTATCGCTCGACACTAAGTCGAAAAACTTAGTCGAAACTCAAAAACTAGGTTTAATGGCGAAATCAAGTCCCCGGCAACGGCGCCAAAACTTGATATGCTCAAAGTTTAATCCCTAAGCTACTCTGCAAGAGCACAGATGTGCAGTTGTAGTATCTAGGGGTCGAACCACAGAGACAAGAGATCACTCAATAAACCTTATGAAGATAGAGTTACGCTAAGCCAAAATATGCGAAACAAATAATAATGCAAAAGAAATAAATAAAACAGCAATGAAAACAGTTGTAAATTCGATGTGATAAAGGATAGGCCTAGGGTGATTTTCAGGAGATCAATGAATGCAAATCAACTTAACAAGTCAGGGCTCAGTTTAAGCACAGTTCTTGAACTCGAAACACAGAACTATAATTAACCAACTTCCGTTGTGAGAATTATCTAAGTTAAAATCCTAGAATCCCAAATTCCTTTGTAAATCCTACAGATTTAAACCAGCTTTAATGCACAAGTTCGATATGTTCACAAAGCTCCTAAACCAAATTCCTTTGCGAATAGTTACTTTGCTCAACTCAGGTTCTTTCCAGTTATTCAATTACGCTTCCGTGTCAATTAAGCAACCTAAGATCTAAGTTCTAGGTGATCAGTCCAGAATTAGCTTTAAGAACAACCTAAGGTGAAGAACAAATAGATATGAACCCTAACTAGCAAGTTAATCAAACATTCAAAGAAAACCCTAATTAACCCTAAACCTAACAGGTGATCTACTCAGACATGGTCATTGAAACAACAAACATGATGAATAGAAAGCAATAGAATAAATCGAAATAGATAAAGGGGTTCGAAATCTTTTCTCTAAACGAACAGAGTACAGACTTGTCTCCCCAAGCTCAAAAATCGCAAAAGCCGAAAACTCAGAGTATCTCTCTCTCAAAAATCTAAGGTGTACGTAAAAAGGGAATAAAAAATCCTATATATATCTCTAAGACACGTTTTGGGCTTCCTTGAAAACGTTTGGGCCCAACTCCTTCTTCAAATAGGAAACAAAATCGCCTTTTCCTTATTTCTCTGACAAGTGTCGCGCGTCACTCTCCATGGTGTCGAGCGTCACCAAAGCACAAAATCCATACTTGACGAATTTGATCCTGATTAAGCTCCAAAGTGCTCCAAAGTCTCCAGTTAAGCTCCAAACGTACCTATGACCTGAAAAGACTCCAAAAGACTCGAAAGACACTAAAAAGACTCTATAAATAAGACATATACCATGGTTAAAAACCATAAAAACCATGATATATCACCGAGCCGAATAAACGGCGAGGCGTTTTGAGATAGTTATACCGAGCCGAATAAACGGCGAGGCGTTTTGAGATAGTTATATTGAGCTGTTTCGTTAACGACGAGGTGTTTCAAGAGAAAGTTAATGCCGAGCCGTTTTGTTAACGAAGAGGCGTTTCGAGAGAAAGTTCATGCCGAGCCGTTTTGTTAACGACGGGGCGTTTCGAGATAAAGTTCATGCCAAGCCATTTTGTTAACAACGAGGTGTTTCGAGAGAAAGTTCATGCCGAGCCGTTTTGTTAACGACGAGGCATTTACCGTGGCGAGATATTGGCTGAAAGCTCAGGTATCCCAACCGTTGGTCTCCGAAAGAAAGTTCCTGATTCATTGGCGCGTGTAACCGACGCAGTTCGAATTAGTTAATACGCTGCGGATCCCACGCGCCGTGGGACGGTTTTCCGAGGTTCACACGGAACTCACGCGCTTCGGTTTTCCTATAAATGGGTGAGCTCCTTCATTCTTCCTCATTATCTTTAGACTTACTCGTTTTCACTAAAAGGTAGCTCTCCCTTCTCTCTTCTTTCTCTCTCTAGTTTATTTATTTTCCGGCTAGGGTTCTGAGGTCTCTGCCGTTCCAGATCTTTTTCCGGTGGAGGTTCGCCGCGTCGTGCTGTAATTCCTGTATAAATTGTAAATTATGTCGAGCCACTCCGACGATTCGCTGGATTCGCTTTTTCATTACGAGCAGAGCCGCACAGATGCCGAGGCGCGAGGTACCACAGAATCTTCCGGGGCGTCTGCCTCGCCGAGCCATTCCAATCGTTCACCCGGGAGTGACAAGGTGTCGAATCATACAAATCCGCCAGACGTCGGCTCTCCATACGACGAGCCGTCGGTTTCGACGAGCCATCCTTAGGATCCCTCTCCTGACGAAGATATTGACCAAGCCGCAGTCAAAGCCGAGGAGGAGGCATTTGCCTTTGATTTACTCGAGGCAAAGCGTGAATTAGAACGTCTCATGGCGTCCCGAGGCGCTTCTTCATCTGGGCGGGGGCAGCGAGTAAAAAGACAAAAACCTGACCCGCCCGGTTCTACGCTCTCCTCCTCTGACTCACTCGAGGCGTTGAGGCGTCGCTTCGGGATATCTGAGGCGGTGGAGTTTATCGTTCCAGAGAAGAACGACCGAGCCGACAAGCCTCCCGAGAATCACTTCACTCTGTTCTTCGAGCTCTGCTTTCTCTGGTTCCCGATCCCCGGAGTTATCCTTGAATACCTCTTGAAACATGGGATCTCGATCGGGCAGATCATGCCGAGGGGACTGCGGCATATGATTGGCATTTTAGTTCAAAGCTTTGAGTGCGGGCTCGATATCGAGCTGAATCACCTGCTGAACTTGTTGGAAATCAGGAAAGCTCCGAAGGGAAATAGGTTTTATATTTCCAACAAGTCCAATCGCCGAATTATAGGCGGTTTTCCAAGCAAAGATCAGTTTTGGACTGAACGCTTTTTCTACGTCCTGGTGAACGAGGCGTCGGTCGGCGAGGATTACGTTCGAAGAACCAAGACCACCTGGGGACCACTCGGTAGCCGACCTGAAGCTTTGCCTCGGCTCGGAACTGTTTTTTGTTGCATTATCTTCCTTTGCTGAATCTTTTTTTGCGTTGTTTTGCAGTTTGGAACGTTCTTCCCCCGATTCCCGACGACCTCTTTATCGTTCGAGACTCCCTTTCGGCTCGGAAGGTTAACTGGAGGAAGAATTTTACCCTCGAGAGAGTAGAAAAGGCGCGAGCTATTCTTGCCGGAGTCCCTGTCAGCTCTTCATCTTCCAGCTCCTCAAGAGATGGTGATAATCGCTCTGATAGATAGGAAGAGGCGTGAAGAAGAAGAAGCCGCAAGGCGAGCCGCCAAAGCGGCTAGAACAGATTCCGAGGCGATTCCTCAGACCGATCTGCCGAGCCGTGAAGGTGACGACACGGTTCGGGTCGCAGAGGCAAACGATGCCGAGGTGGCCGAGAAAGAAGCAGCGCCCGAGCTGGAACCGAGCAAAGTTATCCCCGAGGCATCTAAGGACGACTCGGAGGCACGGAGTAAAACTCCTTCGAACTCCGCGATCCTAGCTCTTCCGAAGTCATCAAGGCCGCCGACTTCGGTTGTACAGACAAGGGCAAAGGCATCGCCGCTCAAAAAGACGAGCCGTCGAAAAAGAAGCGCAAGCTGACATCCGGGGATCCTGCTGCGCGCAAACTGGTCGTTGACGACCCCGATGCCTCGGCAGTGATGTTCGCGCGTGTTAATAACGCGAACACGCGTCTTCCTCCTCCGGAGAAGCTGAGGAGGCCGAGGTCGTACGGCGCGATGGCGCAGCGCGGTACCAAGGTATATCCTATTCGATCTCCTCTATAACGAGGATTATCACTTGCAGTTGTTGCGGCCATTAACGAGCTAATGACTGAGTACGAGACGGACCTGTCTAAGGCCGAACGTCACTTGGACGAGGCCCGAAATGAGACCGCAGCGTCAAAGGTGAAGCTGGAAGAGGCTCAGAACGAAGCCGCGACGGCAAAGGGGAAACTAGGCGAGGCGATGGCCAGGGCATCCAGGCTGGAAGAGGAGAAGATTGTTCTGAGCGCCAATGTTGACAAGGTCTCCGCCTCGGTCATTCGCCTCGAGTAGGCGAGGAGAGCTAAGAGCGCCAAGGTGGCGATGCTCAAGAGGCGTATCGAAGCAAAGGACGCTTTGTTCGATGCCAAGGTCAAGCGGTCGAAAAAAGAGGTGAGGCGAGAACTTACGGCTAAATTTCAGGAACGCCTCGCCAAGGTGGAGGAAGGTTTGGCCAAGCTCGAGAAGGCCAAAAATGATGAGAACGATCTGGGGCAGTTCAAGGGCAATCTTGTGATGATTGCCGACCTGAAGAAGCCGGACGCCCCAACGCTTGATGACGAGGAGGCGAAGCTGAAAAGCTGAAGAGTGAGTATGCTGACGACGAGGCGTACGAGCGTATTGCTTCCGAGATTCGAGGCGAGCTGGTTTTCTCTCCAGTATCGCCGGACTCGGTAGACACCAGCATTGGCAACGAGCCGCTTGACGCAGTCCACGGCTTGATGCTCTCCGCTTTCCCTCACCCTTCGTCGCATAAGTTTTTTTTGTACTTAGGTTTTTTGATGATTTACTTTTCGAACTTTTTATGTTGCCGGTGCCTGGATGGCTTTATCCACTTGACTCTTATTTTTGCTTATGGATATATTTTCTTTTCCTTAGCCGTTTTCGGATTTGATGCACTTATCTTTGACGATCTGTGAAAATATCTATGAAAACTGTTGGCTTAGAAAAAATTCTCAAGGACGAAGACTGTTGTGTCGAGAGTGATTTTGATTGCTTCTATAGCCGAGATCTTTGAAATCGATAGAAATACGGGCTTAGGGGTGAGTTGTTAAGGCTCTCGTTTGGGTTCTAAATCCCGAGCTGGGAGTTAGTTTTGTGGAGTATCTTTTGTTTTAGGTGACGCTGGAAAGTTTTAATTGATAATAGCAAAGCAACTTTTGCTGGCAATGCCGAGCTGTGTTTAACGACGAGGCGTTTTCTCTTTGCATGGTGCCGAGCCGTGTGAACGACGAGGCGTTCTGTTTTTGTTAACCAAGGATGATTTGGTAGTCTCGTTGAATTTGATTATAGACCGGCGTTTCCGAGAGGATGAGTGTGTTTCGCCGGGTTCTAAGAGTTCACTTCGGTTTTAGAGAAAGCGATGTAGTCTCAACTTATAATCTCGTGTGCGATAGCGAACTGTGGCGACCGATACGTTTTTGGTCTGATATTTGTATAGCGCGTTTAAATTTTTATCCATAGAGGATGTAACTTGCACCCTCGTCCTAGTGCTGCTAGGCCCGCTCACCATTCTTCTTGCAGCTAGGCCCATCTAACCTTCTCTACGGCTCGGCCCATCTGCCACTCGAGTTGAGATGTGGCTTGGTCCACCTCGCCGAGGCGCGGCTCGGCCCAAGCATGTTGAAACGCATCTTGGTCTAAATTACCAAGGCGCGGCTCGGCCCAACCACGTTGAAGTGCGGCTCGGCCCACTCTTCGTCCTTCTTACGGCTCTCCCTACTGATTTGTCTCCACGGCTCTCCCCACTTGTCTTGGTGAGCACAGCTCGACCCACTAACTTCGTAGGGCAGCTCGGCCCATGTTTTGTGGACGGCTCGGCCAATTTGTCTTTCTTCCATACTTGGTCGTTTTGAGATGGTTTTATCCGCTTGGGGTGGAAACCGACCCCAACAGCCTTCTTGCATCTAAACCACAGGACCAACTTGCAGGTTTTAACACTTCGACTTGCTGGCCATTTTCTTTCCGTGTGCGGCTTGATCTTCTTGGTCTTTCTCGCAGCACCAGGCCGGTGTAAACAGCGCGTATAAGTGCGGCCTGGGCTCTCCTTGCATCCAACTCGCATGAACAACTCGCATGATTTAACACTTAGCACGAAAAATGCTCAAATCTTCTGCTGCTCGGTAAATGACCCGTAGACCCAAGTAGTTATTAACAGCTAGTTCTTCTGCAAGTTGGTATATAGCTTGACTGAGCCGCACACCCAAGTAGCACACAAGTGTCCATCAGTTTCCATGCCTTAGACCATCTTCTCACATGCTCCATTCCACTTTGTCCCTGAGCTATGGCCTCTAAAAGTCACCTGGAACCTGAGAACAACTCACAAAACCCATCAAAAGATCCTAAAACATAAAAAGAAACAAAAGAAAAGATCAAAAGCATATTTACAAAGGAAAAGCTTGGGGTGTCTCCCAAGAGCACTTTGTTTAAAGTCTCTAAGTTTGACTTTGATACCAAGTTTATGCTGATGGTGGATCAAGAAGGGGAACTTATGTAGCTTCCTCCTTCCTTTGTGAGACTAGGTAGTGCTTGATCTTTTGGCCATTGACCACAAACTCTTGATCATCTTTACCTTCTAGCACAACAGCTCCATATGGCCTAACTTCAAGAATCTTAAAGGGACCAGACCATCTGGACTTAAGTTTTCCAGGAAATAACTTAAGCCTAGAATTGAACAGAAACACCAAATCACCTTCCTTGGACTCCCTTTTCAAAATCTTTTGATCATGTAGAGCTTTGGTCTTCTCTTTATAGATCTTGGAGCTCTCAAAAGCCTCCAACCTGATCTCTTCAAGTTCATGGAGTTGAATTATTCTTTTCACTTGAGCTGTTTTGATATCAAAGTTCAGCAACTTCACAGCCCATAGTGCCTTGTACTCCAGCTCAACAGGAAGGTGGCAGCTCTTCCCATATAGCAGATTGAAAGGAGATGTCCCAATTGGAGTCTTAAAGGCTGTTCTATAAGCCCACAATGCATCATCCAGCCTTTTGCTCCAATCTTTTCTGCTTGAGCTAACAGTCCTCTCAAGAATGGCCTCTAGTTTGAGGATGATAAGGAGTAGCTACTTTATGTTTCACTCCATGCTTCCTCAGCAGTCCCTCCAAGGTTTTGTTCACAAAATGAGAACCTCCATCAGAAATAACAACCCTTGGTACTCCAAATCTTGGGAAGATTATGTTCTTGAACAACCTGACCACCACCTTGGAATCATTGGTAGGGGAAGCAATAGCCTCAACCCATTTGGACACATAATCCACAGCCACTAATATGTACTGATTCACATAAGATGAGATGAATGGCCCCATGAAGTCCACTCCCCAACAATAAAAAAACTTCAACCTCAAATCTTGGGTTTTGAGGCATTTCACTCCTCTTTGAAATGTTCACATGCCTCTGACAGGCATCACATGCTGAAACAACCCTCTGAGCGTCCTTGAACATAGTAGGCCACAAAAACCCACTCTGAAGAACCTTGGCCACCGTCTTGAATGCTCCCATGTGACCCCTATAAGCTGATCCTTGGCACTCTTGCAACAGAGGTTGCATCTCCTCTTCAGCAAGACACCTTCTATACAACTGATCTTTTTTCAGGACATACAGGTAAGGTTCATCCCAATGCTATCTTTGGACATCTTTGAAGAACTTCTTTCTATGGTAAGCATCAAGTTCTGGTGGTTCCACTCCACAAGCACGAAAGTTCACAAGGTCAGCAACCAGAGCATTCTCTTCTCTTGGATGCTATCCACTTCCTCAAACTTCAAGTAAGAGTTAAGAACCATCAATGATTCCTCAGGGAGAGACTCATTACGAGGGACTTCAGAGTCCACTCTTAACCTAGAGAGATGGTCTGCATCCCCATTCTTTATACCCTTTTGTCTTGTACCTCCATATTTAACTCTTGAAGTAAGAGGACCCACCTCAAAAGTCTAGGCTTGGCATCCTTCTTAGTCATTAGATATCTGAGGGCTCCATGATAGGTGTACACAATGACTTTTGATCCCACCAGGTAGCTTCTGAATTTATCAAATTCAAAAACTATTGCCAGCATTTCCTTTTCTGTGGTTGCATACTTTTCTTGAACATAATCAAGGGTTCTGCTGGCATAGTAGATCACATGAAGTTTTCTGTCCTTCCTCTGGCCAAGCACAGCTCCAACTGCATAGTCTGAAGCATCTGTCATCACTTCAAAGGGCAATGACCAATCAGGGGGCTGGACAATTGGTGCACTGATCAATGCCTCCTTGATCTTCTTGAAAGCTTCCTCACACTCAGCATCAAAGACAAATTCAACCTCTTTGCACAACAGCCTAGTCAGAGGCCTAGCTATTCTTGAAAATTCTTTGATGAATCTTCTGTAAAACCCTGCATGCCCAAGGAAGCTTCTTATCCCTTTGACTGAATTGGGAGCTTGCAGATTCACCATCACATCCACCTTTGCTCTGTCCACTTCTATTCCAGTTTCTGAGACCTTATGCCCCAACACTATTCCCTCTTGAACCATGATGTGGCGTTTTTCCCAATTTAACACCAAGCTGTGCTCCTCACATCTATCCAGGACCTGAGAAAGATTAGACAAACAAGAGGAGAAAGAGTGTCCATAGACTAAGAAGTCATCCATGAAGACCTCTACTTTGTCCTCAATCAGATCTGAAAAGATAGACATCATACAACGCTGGAACGTAGCAGGACCATTGCACAGCCCAAATGGCATGCGCCTATAAGCAAATATCCCATAAGGACAGGTGAATGTGGTCTTCTCTTGGTCTCTTGGATCTATGGGGATTTGAAAATATCCAGAGTAACCATCTTGAAAACAAAAGAAAGGATGGTTTGCAAGCCTCTCTAGCATTTGGTCAATAAAAGGCAAAGGAAAATGGTCTTTCCTAGAGGCTGCATTGAGCTTTCTATAATCTTTACACATCCTCTGTCCAATTATAGTCCTAGTAGCAATCAGCTCATCCTTCTATTCTTTATTACTGTCATTCCCCCTTTTTGGGCACCACATGGACTGGTGAAACCCATCTAGAGTCTGAGATTAGATAAATTATCCCAGCCTCTAGGAGTTTGAGAATCTCTTTCTTCACTACTTCTTTTAAGTTGGGAATGAGACGCCTTTGGTGCTCTATGGATGACATAGACTCCTCTTCTAAGTGAATCCTATGAGTGCATAGGGAGGGTGAGATACCCTTTATGTCATCCAGAGAGTAGCCAATGGCTCTCCTATGTTTCCTCCACTCTTCTAACAACCTATGTTCTTGGTCCTCTAACAGCATAGCATTGATAATGACAGGATAAGACTCATTGAGACCTAAGAAAGCATACCTGAGCCCCTTGGGAAGGGGTTTGACTTCCAGCTGAGGTGCTTTAGACTCATCCCAATCAGCACTGAAGCTGTCTTGCATGGTTGCAGGTCTCTTTGCCAATCTGCTCACACAGCCCAGCATGCTCCTCTACTTTAGAACCCACGGCGATGACTCCTTAAACTGCTCCTTGGCTTGTGATTGAGCCTCTGATATCCAAGACCTCAGGGACACTTTGTTCGAATTCCATAAACCTTGCCTCAGGACCAAGTTCTCTTGCATTGTCCAAATACAGCTTGTATCCTTCACTCTCCTCTGCTAAGAACCCCTGGTCTCCTTGTTCTCTGGCTAAAGCAACTTGAAGAGGATCATCAGTATTCAGTTCCTTAAGAAACTCATCAGCTAGTTGATCCATGGTCTCTACATAGAAGCATTGTCCTTCTATGGTGGGCTTCTTCATCATTTCATTAACATCAAACTTCAGCCTTTCAGAACCAAGTTGAAGCTCAATTATGCCTCCTCTTACATCAACGATTTCTCCTGCTGTGGCTAGAAATGGCCTTCCTAAAATAAGAGGGTCAACTGGTTCCTCATCCATCTCTAGCACCACTAAGTCTATAGGCACTTCAAAACCACCTATTTTTACTGGCAGATCCTCTAGCATTCCAAGAGGTAACCTCACAGATCTATCAGCAAGGACAAGGGAGATTCTTGCTGGCTTAAAAGTTATAAAGCCCAGCTTTCGGGTCCAAATCATGTGTTTCTCATTCATTTTAGGTCTTTAGGCATCAAAATAGGCCTTAGGACTTGCATTAGGTCCCAAAGAGTTTTGCATGGTTTAGAGTCTTTATCAGGTGCTTTGGAGGCTATTTGGAGCTCAAGAGGAAGATCAGGAGTGGAAAAGGTGAAGAAGAGGTTCAAAAATAGTGAAAACCACTTGGAGGAATTTCTCGGCGAAAACTCGTACCGGATGGATCAGAATATCGGCTAAAATCGCTATCGGGTGGTCTTTACCGGATAAAAATCATTACCGAGTGTAAACTCCATCGGGTAAAATTTTATGCTAAGGCGAGAAGTTTTTATCGGCAAAAAATCTTACCGCGTTACACGTTTCTCGGACATTTTCCTTACCGCGGGAAGCATTTCTCGGCTAAAATCCATTTTCACCCGCGCGCCTCAAAGATCACAAATCCGGGGAATCTTCTGGTCCGAATTTGTTGACGGGGTCTTCATCAAAGTTGGAGGTAATCAAGTCAAGATCCCAGAACAGTTGGAATCATGAAATTCAGAGCAGTGAGTAGAGAGATATCACCACCGGAAGACACACCTGTCTCGCTTGCATTCAAAAGCCGATCCGATGGGTTTCGAAGATTACGTACGACGATGCCCTTCCAGCTCGAATCAGTTTATAGGGCCTTCATCAATATTTGAGATCATTGAGCGCTTTTTCCGGAACACCTGAGATCGCTCAATTTAGAGCGGTGGTTTGGAAGATACCGTCTCCGGAATAGACATCGGTCTAAAAGATGTTTTTCCGGTCATTCCAATGCAGTGCAAAGATAAGCAATCCGGGGAGCCTTCCACTTCCCAAGCTCCGATGGTTTCTTCACCAAATTTTGAGCTGAATGAGTTATCTTGATTATGGAATTGGTTTCAAAGCATTTGGAGTCGTGTGATGAAAGTTATTGCCAGCGGAAGACGAGTTGATCGGTACGAGCCCAAAGAGTTGCGATACGCGCTAAGTGTTTCTACAGACCTCGGCATCATTACCTCGACATTGCTAAGGCCGAGCCTCATCCGCTGAAAATCTTTGGATTAGACCTCGTACTAACTCCTCGGTATGTCAAAATCGAGGCATGCATGCTGGAGAAGCGAAACTGAAAATGACTAAGTGTTGAACATGAACCTCGGCTTAAAGACCTCGGTATTGCATGCCAAACTTCATCTTCCTGCACCCCTCGAGTACCAAGCCCCTCGGCATTGCATGCCGAGGTCCCTTGTCACGAACCCAGATTCAAGAACAAGTTGACTCAGAGAATGCACGTGAAGATGGATTGAAGACTAGGGTTATTGCATGTTCTTGACGTGTTCTTCATGCGATCTTCATCTTGATCTTTGCTCACGTGCACCCCTCGGCATCAAGACCTCGGCTTCACACTCTCACACACCGAGGTGCTCACCCGACAACCCAAGAAGAGCGTTCAGTACCCGGTTTGTTCCGGGCTGACCCGCGACACTTACCCTTCACTATAAATAGATTTTAGGACTAGAAACCTAATCAGCTTTTATCCTGCCTGTTTTAGCTTTAAGAACTTGCCTCTTTTGTGAAACTTGATTAATCTAATCCGATATCTCGTTTTCACGTAAGAATCTTTCTCTTGTTCATTTCTTTTATTCACCAGCATCAAACTTCTAATCATGACCAGCTACACGTCTTGCAAAGGACTCAGTGAGCTCGTTATGATCAGTGAGTAGTCCACCTAAGAGGCGTTAGATAGGTAGATTAGGGTGTTTCCAAGAAATATTAGTGTGTTTAGGGGTCTAGCTTGCATGTTTCATTCCTTAGCCGTTCATGTACTCTAAGCTGGATCCAAGCACATCACTTGCGGTTCAGATATGAGACTTTCCTTGCATCAAAAGAGTTTGAGGAAATGTCTGAACCAATCGGCTAAGGGTTTAAGAGCCTTTCATTGCGAGAGTGATAGTTTGTTCTTTTAAACGACTTATTGAACTGGATCTTAAAGCTGACTGATTCATGCTTCTCAAAAGAGATTTTGGAATGAAAGAGGATCAGTTTAGATGTTTAATACCTTCATGAGAGGATTATCATATTTTGAGTTAATGTTAAATGAAAAAGTTTGCTAATATTGATTCATTAACTCGCTAGTTTAGCTTGGAGACACCCGAGTCCTTTATTCTGTCTAAAGCCTCTGTCTTTACCATCTATTATCATCATCCGATCATCTGCTTGTTTACTTGTTATCATTTGCATCTTCATCTAGTCTAAATATCATTGATTGCTTCATTTTCATGTTTATTTGCTTGTTAAGTAGATTAGTTACCAAAATTCTTGCTTGATCATCTTGACTTAAGATTACAAGTAACATAGATTAGTGCCTCTCCACAAGTTTGGTTTGATAACCCCTTGTACTACAAGACAGGGGATCGATAACCTCTATAAAGAGTGAAAACTCTTAGTTATCAATTGGCGCCGTTGCCAACTTGTGGGAGCATTAGTCTCTTATTTGTACTTGACATCAAGACTTTACTTTCTTTTGTTTTACTAACTCTTTTACAAGTTCTGGCTTTGCTTTCAGGTGCATGAAAACCAGGTCTCGCAGCACAGAACCGCCTCTCCCTTACGACAACAACATCAACAGAATAGAAAGGAGAGCACACGAGAGAGAAAGGCACTTTGAACGGCTTGGAATGGCAGAACAGCAAAGGATTGAGCAGCAAGCTCAAGACGCCGAGCACCAGGCTCAGGCTAATAAAGCGCAGGCCGAGAGGAACGAACAGCAAGCCTATGTTAATCAACAGCAGGCTCAGCGAAATGAAAGGCTTGCTCAACAAAACCAACATCAAGCCAACAGAAATGAGCAGCAAACTCATCATGTTCCTCCGCCTCCACTACCAGCTCAGAGACAACCTCCTCTGGTCTTTGTTGGAGAAAATGACTGAGCAAACGCGCACCAATATAGAGCCGGGATCCAGGCACCACCTGTGCAAAACAACAACTTTGAAGTTAAAGATTCCCTACTCAATATGGTGCAGAACACCAAGTTCCATGGTCTACCCGGAGAGGATCCTCTAGAGCATCTAGATCAATTTGATCGAGTTTGCGACCTGACGAAGATAAACGAGGTATCAGAAGATAGTTTTAAGCTATGCCTGTTCCCATTCAGCCTCGGTGATAAAGCTCACCAATGGGAAAAGAACCTCCCACGGGGTTCTATACAAACGTGGGAGCAATATAAGCTGGTGTTCTTGTCAAAGTTCTTCTCAACTTCACTTACGGCCAAGCTGAGAAATCAGATCTCCAGCTTCACACAACACACCAACAAGAGCTTTAGTGAAGCTTGGGAACGGTTCAGAAGCTATACCGAGGTGCCCTCCCCAAGATCCGGAATCAACTAGATTACAGCTTCCAATGGAAATTTTCTTGGAAAAGAGATAAACGCGGCAATGGAGCTAGTGGAGAACTTTGCAATGCCTAATGACACGTATGGAGAAGATTTTGATAGAGCAAACCGTTCTGAGGGATCTAGTAAAGACTTGCGAATGGAGAAAGATATAAGAGAGCTACAGAGCAAACTAGACAAAGTTCTCATGGCTACACAAAAGCCAATACACTTTGTTGGCGAGTTCGATGGGCAAGGACCGAGCTTTGATAATGTCAATGAAGATGGTCTAACTCAAGAATAGATCAACTACATAGGGAATCAACAAAGGTATCAGCGGTTTAACAAATTTGGGAACAATCCAAACCTCTCTTACCGAAACCCAAATGTAGCTAATCCTGAAGACCAAGTGTACCCTGCTCAACAACACCAACAAAGCTATGCTCCTAAAGCTCCATTTCAGAACAGCTTTCAGCCCAAGCAACAGTTCGGTGGGCAACAACAGAGTTACAGTCAGCAGCCAACCGCAGCAGTATAAGTTTCCACCAGGGTTCAATCGGCAGCCGATGGGTAATCAGCAACAAAACCAGGGAACGGCTCAGAATCAGATGGGGCCTGACGTCTGTGGGCTTCTACAGCAGCTGTTACAAGGGCAACAACGAGTTGAGAGCCAGCACGCAACCATGCAACAGGATATACAGGAGCTTAAGCAGAATCAAGCTTCAACATCATCAAGGGGTCCGGCTTTACCAGGTAAACCGGAACCTAACCCCAAGGAGTATGTAAACGCCATCACATTGAGGAGTGGAAAAGAATTACAAACTTCAGCACCTAACACAAAACTCATTGAGGACAATGAGCAAATTGGTGCGGAGGCAGCCTCAAATGATGCGCAAGAAGATGAGATTTTGGAGAAAGAACCGGTTAAAGACAAAGGTAAAGAGGTGGAGAAGACACCCGAGCTTGAAAAGCCCTACGTTCCACCTCCACCTTATCAGCCCAAGATACCATTTCCAGGGCGTTTCAAGAAGCAAATCCTAGATAGAGCTAAGGCAGTATTTGAGAAGCATTTGGAGAACACGCAAATGACCTTGCCTATCATAGACGCTTTCTTAGCTATACCACAACTTGGAAAGTTTCTAAAGCATGCCATTCTCAACAAGACAAAGGAGCTCCAGGGTATGGTAATATTGAGTCACTAATGCAGCGCTATCATTCAAAGGAGGTCTATACCAAGAAAGTTATCAGATCCGGGCAGCTTTACCTTGCCGTGTGCAATAGGTCACTTGAAGTTCTCAAGTTGCTTGTGTGATCTAGAAGCTTCCATGAGCTTGATGCCCTACACGGTGGCCAAGAGATTGGGGAGCCGGCCAGGGTCTCCCTTGTATTAGCTGATAGATCAGTGAGATTACCGGTGGGTTTACTTGAAGATTTGCCTTTGAGAATCGGTGAAATAGAGATCCCCACTGATTTCATAGTTCTTGAGATAGATGAGGAGCCTCTTGACCCCATCATCTTGGGAAGACCGTTCTTAGCCACAGCAGGAGCGATCATTGACATAAAAGGAGGCATGATCGAGCTGCACATCGGTTCCGAAACTATGAAGTTTGACGTAAAGGAAATGATGAAGAAACCGACCATTGGAGGTCAGGTTTTCTATGTGGAAACCATGGAGGAGCTAGCTGATGAGCTCCTAGAGGAGTTAAATGCAGAAGACCCATTACAAGTGGTCTTAACGTGGGAACAAGGCGAGCACGGGTACTTGAACGAGGAAAGCAAGGTGTACAAGCGACTTTTGGACCAACCGAAAGAACTTGAAGCTGAGACGAGGTTTTTGGAGCTCAGGAAGAGTGGCCTCGGCATTTAGACATCGTGGAGTCCAAGACTGTTAGGGAGACACCTCGGGATATCATGGCCAAGACATCTTATGCCGAGGTCAGTGGTAAACCGCGCGAGAAAGAAAAGGCCGTGGAAGCTGTTCCAAGGCAATGCAGCTTCGAAGCTGATTGGAATGAAGCTGATGCACCCCCTATTGAGCTCAAGCCTCTACCAACAGGCTGAGGTACGCTTTCTTAGGCTCAAACTCTTCATATCCCGTGATCATCAATGATAACTTATTAGAGCATGAAGAGAGCGCATTGCTTAGCGAGCTTAGAAAGTTCAGGAGAGCCATAGGGTATTCTTTGGCCGATATTAGAGTGATCTCTCCTGACATATGCACCCACAGGATACATCTAGAAGACCAAGCTATGTCTTTAATTGAGCATCAACTACGTCTTAACCCGAACCTCAAGGAGGTGGTTAAGAAGGAGATACTCAAACTCCTTGAGGCAGGGATAATATACCCAATCTCTGACTCAAGGTGGGTATCTCCTGTTCACGTTGTGCCCAAGAAAGGTGGGATCACGGTGGTTAAAAACGAAAAGGATGAGCTTATACCCCAAAGAACCATCACCGGTCATCATATGTGCATAGATTATAGAAAACTGAATTCTGCTTCTAGAAAAGATCATTTCCCTTTGCCATTCACTAGTCAAAAGGTTGAGAGGCTAGCGAATCATCCTTATTTTTGTTTACTTGATGGGTACTCGGGTTTCTTTCAAATCCCCATAGATCCCCGAGATCAAGAGAAAACGACATTTACATGCCCTTATGGCACTTATGCTTATAGAAGAATGCCTTTTGGTCTTTGTAATGCACCTGCGAATTCTCAAAGGTGTATGATGCATATCTTCTCTGACCTCATTGAAGAGAAAGTGGAGGTGTTCATGGACGATTTTTCTGTCTACGGCTCCTCTTTTTCTGATTGTCTTTCTAACTTGTCTCAGGTTTTAAAGCGATGTGAGGAGCACAGGCTCGTCTTGAACTGGGAGAAATGCCACTTCATGGTTCAAGAAGGGATTGTCTTGGGTCACAAGGTATCAGAGAAAGGCATAAAGGTGGATAAAGCCAAGATCGAGGTTATGGTGAATCTGCAAGCTCCGAACTCGGTGAAAGGGATAAGAAGCTTCCTTGGGTACGGAGGGTTGTACAGAAGATTCATCAAAGATTTCTCAAAAATAGCTAGACTTTTGACGAGGCTGTTGTGCAAAGAGGTTGATTTTGTCTTTGATGATGAGTGTGAGGAAGCTTTCAAGAAAATCAAGGAGGCATTGATCAGTGCACCGATTGTCCAGGCCCCTGATTGGTCATTACCCTTTGAAGTGATGATGGATGCATCGTATTATGCTGTGGGAGCTTTCTTGGGGCAGAAGAAAGACAAGAAGATCCATGTAATCTATTACGCAAGCCGCACATTGGACTCAGCTCAAGAGAAGTACGCGACCATCGAGAAAGAAATGCTGGCTATTGTGTTTGCATTTGATAAATTCAGGAGCTATCTCGTGGGATCAAAGGTCATAGTCTATACAGATCACGCGGCTTTGAGATACCTCATGACTAAGAAAGATGCTAAGCCGAGGCTTCTCAGATGGGTTTTGTTGCTTCAAGAGTTCGATATGGAGGTGCTTGATAAGAAGGGTATTGAGAATGGAGCTGCCGACCATCTCTCAAGGTTGAGAATCGCATCACAAGTACCTATAGATGATGCTTTGCCCGAGAGACATCTCATGCTAGTCAAGTCTTATTTAGAAGTGGAGGAGGCCAACACTATCTGGGAAAGAAGCCTCCCATGGTTTGCGGATCTTGTGAACTACTTGTCATGCGGTTTAGAGCCACCAGAGCTAGATTCCTATCAGAAGAAGAAGTTCTTTAGAGATGTGATGAGGTATCATTGGGATGAGCCGTATTTATACGTACTTAACAAGGACCATCTTTATAGACGGTGCTTGGCTGAGGAAGAGATTTACCTGGTGTTACAAGAATGCCACGGTTCAGCATACGGTGTTCACTTGGGGGCTTTCAAGACGGTAGCCTAGGTTTTACAGAGTGGTTTTTGGTGGCCGACTATGTTTAAAGACGCTCAGAGTGTTGTTTCAAGATGTGAGGCTTGTCAAAGGCAAGGTAACATATCCAAGAGGAATGAAATGCCTCAGAACCCGATCCTTAAGGTCGAAGTCTTTGACTGTTGGGTCATTGATTTCATGGGACCCTTTGTGAGCTCATACGGGAATCAGTATATACTTGTTGCTGTGGACTATGTGAGCAAGTGGGTGGAAGCGGTTGCATCTCCAACCATTGATTCAAAAGTTGTGGTAAAGCTCTTTAAGGGCATCATTTTCCCAAGATTTGGAGTCCCAAGGGTAGTTATCAGTGATGGAGGTAGCCATTTCATCAGTAAGACTCTTGAGAGTCTTTTGAAAAAGCATGGAATGAAGCACAAGGTGGCTAGCCCTTATCATCCTCAAACAAGCGGTCAGGTGGAGGTCTCAAACCGCCAGATCAAGGCTATTTTGGAGAGGACCGTAAGCTTATCTAGGAAAGATTGGAGCAAGAATCTTGACGATGCTTTGTGGGCTTACAGAACCGCGTACAAAACCCCCATTGGCACCTCACCATTCAACTTGCTCTATGGAAAAAGTTGTCATTTACCGGTTGAGCTGGAGTACAAAGCCTTGTGGGCAGTGAAACTTTTGAACTTTGATATCAAGACGGCTCAAGAAAAGAGGGTTCTACAGCTTCATGAACTTGAGGAAATCCGTTTAGATGCTTTTGAAAGCTCTAAAATCTACAAGGAAAGAACCAAGGCGCTCCATGACAAGAAGATACACAAGAGAGAGTTCAAAGAAAGGGACCAAGTTCTGTTGTTCAACTCAAGACTTAAGCTATTCCCTGGGAAGCTAAGGTCTAGGTGGTCTGGTCCATTTACAGTTCTTGAAGTGAGGCCATACGGAGCCGTTGTTTTAGAGGGAAAATATGGACAAGGCTTTGTTGTGAACGGTCAGAGGGTAAAGCATTACTTGGCATCAGAAACAAGAGAGGGAGCTACCTCAGTTCCTCTTCTTGAACCCGAGACTGCCTGAAAAGGTAAGTAAAGTCAAACTTAGAGACGCTAAACAAAGTG